CCTGAGCTCATCATGAAATTGTAACTACATGCAAATCAAAGATAGCTCGTATCCACCACTAGAGGGCTTGAACCTGATACTGAAGGTATAAAACTTGGCAGTTGGTGAGAAGATTTACTTAATTTTAATGTAAAGGCGTCAGATACCTAAAATGAAAGGCTGACGTCTGATCGTTTTTAATTGTAAATTTTTACCTATTGTTATACGTTTTTTATGAAGTGATTTCTTCAAACCGATGTAAAAGGCTACTTCTGTGGTGTGTGAAAAAGGATGAATTGATAGACTCAAAAATTAAATAATTTTTTGTACATAGTCTGAATCTCTAATTAATAATTAGAAGAAAAATATCCTGAGCTCATCATGAAATTGTAACTACATGCAAATCAAAGATAGCTCGTATCCACCACTAGAGGGCTTGAACCTGATACTGAAGGTATAAAACTTGGCAGTTGGTGAGAAGATTTACTTAATTTTAATGTAAAGGCGTCAGATACCTAAAATGAAAGGCTGACGTCTGATCGTTTTTAATTGTAAATTTTTACCTATTGTTATACGTTTTTTATGAAGTGATTTCTTCAAACCGATGTAAAAGGCTACTTCTGTGGTGTGTGAAAAAGAATGAATTGATAGACTCAAAAATTAAATAATTTTTTGTACATAGTCTGAATCTCTAATTAATAATTAGAAGAAAGAACTTGTTAAATCCAAATGTGCTCTAAAGCATGACAGGACAAATAAGTCCCATAAGAAAAAATTTTTATTATACATTTTAATTCTTTTTATTTACTTATCTGTTAACAAACATCTCTTCTGATGATAAAATGAGAAATACACTATAAAAAATTTTCATCTAAAAATAAAAATTCGTAAAATTTTAAAATAAAACGTATAACTGATCTTTTAATGAATTTATATACAGTATATAAAGAAAAAATTGTCGTAAAACAATATAATATTTTAAAATCAATTATTTTACTTAAAATTATTTTACTGATGAATGTGAATAATAGATATTGTGATGTTAGAGTTAAAAAAATTGATGCAACCAGACTTTGTATTGTTCTAGAAAGCACACGTGATAGTCTTGTGCAATCGTTGTGTAAACTATTGTAAGGAGCTGCTAAACCATTATTATTTTTCTTTTTCGAACGAAAGTCTGTATTAAATTAAAATATTTATACAATTGTAGAAGTTATGTTAAACAGTTAATTTGCTTCAAATCTTATTCATGTTTCAATAAATTTTTATTAAAAGTTTGATTCATTAATAATATTTTTTTTTCTAAAATAATATTTTTAAACGAATCTCAAAGTATTATCATGCAAATAAAATATGGATGTTTTTAACTTGATGTGAAAAATGCACCATTCGTAGGTGGAACAAATTAATTTTTAGTTTACACAAACTCATTTGCAAATTTCATTTAAATTTAGATTCAAAGTTTAACGAAATATATATTATAATTGCATAGGTCTAACAATTTGGCCTATATCATTGTAAAAGACTAAATATGTCTACTAAATACTATACCTCATGCATATAACTTAGAAATATAGGCTATATATTTTTATATGCATCTAACATCTTAATATATATTTATATCTTAAATTACAAAGTAGACTCAAAGCTGAGAAATACAAGAAAATTCTGCCAATAAAATGTATTTCGCTTTAGTTTTTAAAAATCTCTCAACACTCGCTTTTTCAAAACCTATTTTACCATTGATGACCGGATTTGCAATGGAAAGTTTGGTGAAAAGTGTAGAATTTTATTATCTTTTACATAAGCCACGAATGCATATACAAACAGCTTCGGTACGAGAAAAACTACTGTAAAACACCCAAATATGAAATCAATTGTTGATAAGTAGCTATAGAGAAAGAAAATAAATCGCATTAACGGTAGTGTCAGTTGTCTGCAACACTTATTCGTCGAATGTATGTTACATTATTTTCTGATGCAGGTAACTTTGTTTAATATGAATAAAATAATTTAATTTAAGAATAGAAGTTATTTTAAAAATTAAATGGATTATTTATATATTCAAAACATCAGAGTGAATAGTAATAATATTTTAATTTCTTATTAATAGTTTTAGTTTAGTAATTCGGCCGTTTTGTCAATACTTTTGTTGGCAATTTATCAGATTCATAACAAATATGTTAAATATTAAAAGTATATTTTAATAAAAATTCAATCAGAAAGTAAATAGAAAAAAAAATACTTAACAGCTTTTTCTTTATTATATATTGATTTTATTTACATAACAAGTATATCATAGTAAAAAAAAACCAAAAATCTGTGGATTTTTAAAGTAAAAAAAGCTGCTCTTGGTTATTAAATAAATATTAACAAATGATCTCGTTTATCAATTATTAACAATTAACATTTTCAAAGATCAAAATT